CTCCCCTTTTTTCCCCACAAAAATAATGAAATGATGGCTGATGGCATGATGTAAGCAGTATCATAGTGGAAGGTGTAACCTGGGCTTTGGAGTTAGATCTAGGTTTGAATTCTGGTACACTCTACTACATAGCTGATAACACTTATTTCATTACAGTGTTGTTATTATTAGAGACAGAGTCTCACTCTGTCACCCAAATTGTAGTGCAGGGGCATCATCTCAGCTCGACCTCCTAGGCTCAAGTAATCCCCCCACATCAGCACCCCCGAGTAGCTGGGTAGCTGGGACTACAGGCACATGCCACCATTCCTGGCTAATTTTTCCGGGTTTTTTTTTTTTTTTTTTTTTGTCTTAATGGGGTTTCACCATGTTGGCCAGGCTGGTCTCCAACTCCTGAGCTTAAGCGATCTGCCAGCCTTGGCCTCCCAAAGTGCTGGGATTAAGGTATGAGCCACCATACCTGGCCTCACCATAGTGTTCTGCTTTTATCTGCTTCTGAAAGCTGGGGTGGGCTGTAGTAAACTTAGAAACAGGAAATACAGAACAGCCATTTTTTCCTGCTGATCATACTCCCTGCCAGTTATCTATTACCTGGCCCACTGATTGCCTTGCAGGAAGATGCCTTCCCAGCTATAATAAGCCCTTTGTTTCCCAGGACTCACTCATAGCCATAACCAATGCTTTCCCTAGAAAGGGCTCTTAAAAGTCTCAGGAAAGCTGAAGTTAGACAACCCTTTTTTTCTTTTTAAGAAACAGGGTCTCACTCTGTCATACAGGCTGGAGTGCAGTGGCACAATCACAGCTCACTACTGCCTCAACCTCTTGAGCTAAAGGAATCCTCCTGCCTCAGCCTCCAGAGTATCTGAGACTACAAGCACAGGCCACTGTGCCCACCCAATTGTTTTTTTGTAGAGATGGGGGTCTTGCTTGGTTGCCCAGTTTGGTCTTAAACTCCTGGCTTCAAGTGATCCTTCTGCCTTGACCTCTCAAACTGCTGGAATTATAGGTGTGAGCAACCATGCCCAGCCTAGACCACAACCCTTCTTGAGCTGGTCTCCCCCTGGGAGCCTTCATCTAACAGAGCCAACATTGTTCTCTCCATACACTAGGTTTATGTTTGCTACTGGGTTTCTATATTATCACCTTTCATATCCATTTATATACAAAATTAATGGAAATAAAGGATGCAATTCGTCATCAATGATGGTTCATAATAATTATGTAGGCACTTGTAGAATGAAAACTACTAAGGTTTCTAGGACTAAGAAGAAATACTAAAGTGATACACTTAGTACCACCAAAGCCACTACATTTTTTGAGATGTAAATTTCACAATGTATACATAATTAAGATGACAAATTAAGGCTCAAATTTTAAGGATGAATAGCTATTTCACTGATTTTACATGGCTCACTAGGAAACAGATTCCCATTTAAAGTAGATAGATAATTGAGTTTAATGGGATGCTAACTATGAGGGGATGAGTAGGGTTAAAGGAAACCAAGTCAAGATACCTGGTCAGCAGTGTCCAGTAGATATTTCTGGACGTCTGTAACGATGTAATGTTCTACATCTACATTGTCTAATATAGTGGCCAAAGCCACATGTAGTTATTAAGCACTTAAAATGTGGTTAAGATGACTAAGCCACTGAATTTACTAATTTGTTTAAATAGTCACATGTTGCCAACAGCTACCACATTGGACATTACAGTTCAGGTCTAGCAAAGAGCCACCACAAATCCTAGGCCTGAAGACGTGAAGTAAAGAACAATTACAGAAACCTGATGTGATGCAGAATTAGAACTCTATCTTACAGGAAAGGATTACATGACAGGAGCCATAGCCTTTGACAGAAGAATGCTGCTACTGCCAACCTGCAAACTGTTGGGGAAGAAAAGGGAATAAATACTAATTAACTCTCCTTTTTGCCCCATTCCCTTCTGGTGCCTCTGACTGGTGGAGGAACTCAACCAAAGAGAACACAAGAGAGCTCCTAGATGGAGTCCAAAAGGTCAGCCTCAAGGAGCACAGAACAGTGAAGGGTAAAGAGTATATCTGGAACAAAACATTATTATATCCCATGCAAAATGAATTGAGGCATCAGTTTGGTTTATTGGGACTTATAAATCTAAATAAATATAGAACCAATAGCAAAACATTTATAAAAAGTATGTTATCAAAGACCTACAAATGTTTCCTGTTGTTAAAGCTATCTGAGTTTTCTGTTGCAATAAACAGCACAATGTTTTAATCAAACTGTGACTGTGTTCATTTCACGTTTCCTACATTAAGAATTAGGTCAATACCATGCTCCTATATTCAACCAAGGATCTGAAAGGTCTAATGTGAAACTTTTTCGAAGGTACCATCTCAAATCACAAGGCCTGGGATTCAAAATTTTTTTTACTTTACTAAAGATCACTGTAACTCAATAAATGGATAAACTTAGATTAGAAAATCAGAGGAAGAGCAATAAACTGGATACATGAATCCAAACATCCCTTCTCTCAGGCTGCATGGCCACTGTCTTCAATTGTTTTCTGTACTGATTGTAGGTATTTTACCAACCTTTTTCACTTTCTGCACTGAATAGTGCTAAGGGGGAAAAAGGATGGGAAATGGAGGAGTGGCAATAACTAGAAGGTAGTTCTATTTGTGGAAAGCTTTTTTGTGTACTTTAGTGGGTCCTGAATATGAGTCCAGTCCTTACTGCCCAGCACTTAAGGAAGAAAGGTCTAATGTGACTGTATGGGGGTTGAAGTAGGTACCAAAGGAAAAGCAGTTCCCACCACCTCCAAGGAGCAGGAGCTGTTGCTCTTCAGGAAGAAGGATGCTAGTATGGTTGTGTAACATTAATGGCCATGGCACATATGTTGTGTCAATCTGATATTCAGAGCTCAATCCTGTGGTCAAATTGATAACAGTCACTCCAGGAAATGAGGAGGAATGAATCCAGACCCCTCCAACAAGTAGCAGCTTTCCATTGAGCACATGAGCTGTGTGGGAGTACCTTGGAGTAATGGGAGGCTGGATGTCTACTGACTCCCAGAGGAAACCACAAGAGATTGGTCTCAGAAAGAACACAGAGTTCAAAGGCTCCTCAGAAGCCCCGAGACCTCCAGCAATGAGGGCTCCCCCTTGCCAAGTGCTGGCACTGTGAGAATGCCGGGCTTCAGGTACTTCTCCCTCCACTGGGATCTGGACCCAAGTCATTGTCTCTACATGCAGGAAATGCCAGTCACTGAGTACAGGTTCCACCACACTTCGACCCCCATACACAAACAAATATTCCTGATTCTGATAGGACACTTCTGTGGCTGAATGCCGCCAACAAGACAATATGGAATCATCCTTTCGGCCAGCCTTTGTTATTGTCACTTTCAGGTCCTCAGTGCTATCATCCTCACTCTTACAAAACTGAAGTTGGAGAACCCCGAAGGCTGGACGTACTGGGGAGAGTCTTCCTCCCAGAACCAGAACCTGACTCTCTGAGAGTCTTGTCATGGTGTGATAAAGGCGTCCATCCCACTGAACTCCAGTACCACAACTTCGTATTTGGCTGCCTTTCCATTCAGAGTCACAGTCTCTTGAGAACAAGTGAAACTGGCTCACTCGGCAGTGCCGCCCCTCCTGCTCTCCAAATCCTCCTGCACTGAGAATAACGTCCGGGCTCAAGAGGACAGAGGCGTGGCCATATCTCTTCAGGTTTGGGCCCAGGCCCTCGCTAGTGACTACACTGGCAGGGAAGACCCCTGAAGGCAAAGCAGGATTTACACGAGGAAATGCCTCTGAGGGTGGAAACACTAGGGTGTGGGAGAGAGTGTCTCCCCTAGAAGCTGCCAGAATGAAATAATGGGCGCACTTCAGATGCCACTCTTCAAACTCATCAAAGGGTTCAATATTTTCCACCCGCCGGCGCTCTTCTGCAGGGAGAAAGCAGCGATAGAATTCATTCAAATCCACGGCACCGCAGGCAGTCCAGCCAGCTTGAAGGAAGCGGCGCCTCTGCGCCTCCACGTCAGGAAAGCGATCCAGGCCATGCAGGGGGGAGTTTAGCTGCCGAAAATGCTGCAGCATGAACTGACCAAAGGCGTCTTGAGGCCTCATCTGCTCATAGACCACGAAAAGGGCATTAGGAAAACGCCGGGCTGCCCAGGCGATGAGGGCCGCGGCACTCTCCGGCTCGAGGTAGGTCAGCACTGCCTCGGCCAGGAGCAGAGTGGGTGAGGCTGGGTCGAGACCTGCGGCTCCCAGAGCCTCGTCCACTCGCTGGAGCTGCCGCAGGTCCAGGCCCAGGATGCGGTAGTCCACGCTCTCAAAGTACAACGCGAAAGCTGGCTTGCCACTCTGGAAAGGCCCGGTCAACGCGCACAGCTCTGGCGTCTCTCCAATCCTCTCTGCTTTGCGCCGCGCCACGTCCGGAAAATCCACCTCCCAAACTGCAGCCCGGGCCAAGCGGCCCGCGGTTTTCAAGCGAAAATAGAGCGAGTCGAAACCGGCGCCGAGGGACAAGATCTGAGCGCGCGGCGCGGCGTGGGGCACCAAAGTCTGCTCCAAGAAGGCGTGCACATAGTGCCTCACGGCGCGTGCGCGGACGTAGTAGCCTCGGTGAATGAGCGGTGCGCGGCGCCCCGCGCCCGGAACCAGCAACCCGACATAGGGGTCCTGCACGTACCCGCGCGCAGCCAGGGAACGCTTGCTGAGGGCGCTGCTGTCATTGGTGCTCTGTACCGCTCCTGTCCGACGCTCGCGGCTCTGGGGGCCCATGGCCAGAAGAGACCCGGAATGGCAATCTGTCACGGTCGTGAGCCGCCCCTTGGTTAGTATACTACACACCTTACGGACCTAGGTACGGAGAAAAACCACCCTTACTCCCGGACTTCCCCTTCCGCCGGCACGTGTGCGTCACTTCCGGGAAGAGCGCATCTCGCCAACCGGACTTGAGAGAGTAGCCGTGCTAAGTTCGCTTGCGGCTGACCTTTCTTTGATTGTCCTGGTTTCCGTTTGCCCCAGAATACGGCCTGCTACCGCTGTGACTTGTGTGTTAGGAAAGGCGGGTTGTCACGTTTCTACAAGGCTTTCAACCAAAAGGGAAGACTTGCCTTAGTCCTCGTAGTTGAGAAATCTCTTAAGAGGTGAGTCCGTGGGGACTGACAGGATCTGGTAGGAGCAAAGAAGGGTGGGCACCAGGGACCTTCAGTGGGTAGGGATTAGTTAGCTTCTTTGGGTGCTAATAGTTGCTGATTTATTTAATCCTCTCAAAGTTGCAAAAGAGAACCTATTTAAACTGAAAACAAGTCACTAAGGCCAGGGCGCAAACTGAAGAAACCGACCTTTACAAATAGTTTGTAGATACTTAATAAGAAAACGTCTCCCACAGATATTAGAAAGTTGATTCCCGTGTATTCCCCGCCTTATGTTAGACTAACAGTGTATAAACCACTCATCCTCTCTTTTTCATCACACCCCTTTCGACTTGGAGAATTCTGTGAATTTTAAAGTAGTGTTCAATATGTCCCCGGAAGGGGGAGTCACTGGGGAGAGATTATTGTTCCCTGTGATATATTCTGAGCCTCTTTTTTAAGGAGTAAATCCAGGTTGGAGTTCAAAATAATCACAAAGTTTCTAAATTGGATGTCTGGGAGTCATCCATGGAAAACCACTTCCAGAGACGTTTGTTCACTGGCATTTGGTGACTGGCTGAAACAGAAAAGGAAATCAGATAACTTTATGATTAACTACAGGTGGTTCTGCATAATGGTCAAGAGCATGAGTTTTGGAGTCCAGCAGATTTGGATACTGGCATCAAGAAAAAGTTTGATATTTGTCGATGTTTTCTTGTGGAAAAAAAAATAAGAAAAAGGTTTGAATCAGGATAAAGATTTGGTAATTGAAAACTGACATTTAGATTTGGTGTTTAAGAGCTCAGTAATGACCTTAGGGAGAGGAGTTTCTGTGGAGAAATGAGGGCAGAATCCATGTTTCAGTGAACAGGAGGTAAGTTAATGGAGAAATCCAGTCTAAATTATTATACTTTGGAAAAGTTTAATTCACAAGGAAAAGAGTCAGGGCAGTGGCTAAAGAAGAATGTGGGTTAAAAAGACTTTTTCGTTTTCAAGTGGAAGCAAATACTGCACTTGCATTTTGGTCCTGTGAGGAAAATCAGCCATTGGAGAGGGAGAGGTTTAAGGAACAGAAAAATGAGAAGATAATTCACTGGTAGAGTAGCTTGGAATAGACAGAAATGGGATCCTGGGCACATATTAGTTGTGGGGTTAGGAGAATGAATCCTTTGTCTGTGACTCCTGAAGGGGTTAAAAAAAAAATAAAGAAAGATTATGGATAATCAAGCTTAGGTGTGAGGTAGGGCAGAGAGAAAAAGAAGGAATTTACACCTGATGGCTTCTGTTTTCTCTGTAAAGTTGGTGGCAGAGTTGTCAGTTTAGTGTAAGGCCATTGGATCTGATGGAACATTTGAGGAGTTTGAGAATTGCTTCCGAGAGGATCAGAAGGAGGGCTTATCTATGCCTACTGGGTCATTGGATCCTTATCTCTAAAATGAGATTAAGTACTGCTTTGGGAGGTATTTCAGGGTTGACTGAGGGCCAAATAGAAAAAAGAAAGAGTTGAAACACTGAAAAATACATAGCACTACAGAAACAAATTTGTTTAATGACAAGTTCCTAAAATGTAGATGTGATGTCAAAAATATTGCTTTTTTTTGCAAAGACCAGATCAAGAAAAGTAATTCAAGAAGAAAGAGAATGGAGTAGGCCAAGTGCGGTGGCTCACACCTGTAATCCCAGCACTTTGGGAGGCCAAGGCGGTTGGATCACGAGGTCAGGAGATCAAGACCATCCTGGCCAACATGGTGAAACCCCTGTCTCTACTTGGGAGACCAAGGCAGGGGAATCGCTTGAACCAGGAGGCGGAGGTTGCAGGAAGTGGAGATTGCACCATTATACTCCAGCCTGGCAACAGGGCAAGACTTCATCTAAAAAAAAAAAAAGGAAAGCGAATGGAGTAAAATTTGTGATTTGGATGCCTTATGATTGTGTGGGGTGTTTAAATCTCAATTTATTATATAATATGGGGATAATAATACCTCTTGGGTTGTTTTAAGGATTTAAACAAAATAACTAAGACACCATAGTGCCTGGCTCATAGTAAGTGCGTAATAAACAGTAACAAATATTTTTATTATTATCAGTTCCCTTTGAGGGAGTAGGTGGGAGCATAAAGAAAGCTCCGTGGGAGACAATATACTTGCTTCTGGCCCTGTGCTAATATTGATGAAATATTACTAATGTGAATCTTATCCCAGTGTTTGTTGCCTTCTGGCCCAGACCAAAACTAGTGTAGAAATGTTAGATTTGGCATGGCATGCTATTGTTGGTAGCAGTGTTTTAGGCATGGAACAAATAATTTTTTTAATGTATAAAGATTTTGATTGCTTAGTTGCTTTTTAATTTCCATAGGTTGACATTGTAGCCAGTAGGTCAGTAAATTTACTCACAGCTAGTTAAAGGTCAGTCTGGAGGATGGTTTGAATGGGGCACAAATTAAGGTCAGGATCCTGGAGTAAAAGTGAAAATCTGGCCAGGCACGGTGGCTCACTCCTGTAATCCTAGCTCAACTGAGTGGATCACTTGACCCCAGGAGTTTGATACCAGTCTGGGCAACATGGTGAGAACCCATCTCTACAAAAAAAATTTTTATTTAAAATTAGCCAGGCGTTGTGGTGCATGCCTGTGGTCCCTGCTACTTGAGAGGCTGAAGTGGGAGGATACCTTGAGTCTGGGAGCTGGATAAGGCAGCTCCCAGAGCTCCTACTGCAGCTCCTACTTTGATTTTCAAAGTAGCCACCTTGACTTTCTGGGTTCTTGCATATTAATGATGATGACGTTTAAGAATAACAGTTTCCATGTGTTCATGGAACACACTTAAATTAATCACTTAAGTTAGTTTTAGAGGGGCTTTGCCTTTTAAAGAAAAAAATTAGCAAAATCCTGTTTCTTTGCTTTTATGTTAACGTCTGAAAATATTAACATTTGTTAAAATAGGTGAAGCTGAACCCAGAGCTACACATACAGCTAATCTTATCAAAATGTGTGGAAGTAAAGCAATCTGAAGGAAATTCGGCACCATACAATTTACTGACTGAAATACATCATATTATTCATACCAAGAATAAGAGTGGAGAAGGACCATTTTTTTTCCTGCTAAAATAATGGATGCAGAAGAACAACAGCTACGGAAGACAGACTTTTATTCTGAATTGCCAAAAGTGGTGAGAATTCAACTACAGAAATCTTGAGTGATTGCTAATTGTAATTACTTTTATGTTGCTTCTTTTCATGAAAGTAAATTTTGGCTGGGCACAGTGGCTCACGCCTGAAATCCCAGCACTTTGGGAGGCCAAGGTGGGTGGATCACCTTGGGTCAGGAGTTTGAGACCAGCCTGGCCAACATGGCAAAACCGCCATCTCTACTAAAAATACAAAAATTAGCTGGACGTGGTGGCATGCCTGTTGTCCTAGCTACTTAGTTGGTTGAGGCAGGATAATCACTTGAACCTTGGAGGTGGAGGTTGCAATGAGCTGATATTGCTCCAGTGTACTCCAGCCTGGGCAACAGAGTGAGACTCCCATCTCAAAAAAGAAAAAAAAGAAAAAAAAAGAAAAAAAAAGGCAAAATTTGTAAACTTTGTTATATAGCTAAATCTGGTAATTAGTTTGCCTGGTGCAAACTACAAACATCAGGTAGCTGGTATGATGGTATGAATCTATTGGATATTTGGTAAGTTTTCTGGTTGTATCTCTTGTCTTAGGAACTTCATGCCCACTTGAATGGATCCATTAGTTCTAATACCATGAAGAAATTAATAGCCCAGAAGCCAGATCTTAATATCCATGATCAGATGACTGTGATTAACAAGGGAAAGAAAAGAACTTTAGAAGAGTAAGTGTGGGGAGGTTGTGGGCGTACTTCTTTTTCTTTATCAGTACTTTGAGATTGTAAGTAGTATGTAAGAATTCAGATTTTAGTAGTTAACAGAAATGGGGTTGGCATCTGGCATGGAGCATGTCTCTTAACATACAACATTTTTTTTCCAGCTGTTAGACTGTTGATAGTATTTTTAGTGATTTCTGTTGTTTGTGAAGTTATAACATATTGGGATATTCTTTCTTTTCTTTTTTTTTTTTTTTTTTTTTGTTTGAGCAAATCACTAGGAAAGCCACTGTCTTTTGAGGCAGACCTCTTTGTTAACAGAAAAAAAAAAAAATCCTAGCTGGGACTGCAGGTGCATGCCACTGTACTTGGATAATTTTTAAAGTTTTTTTTATTTGTTTTTATTTTTCTTTAATTTTTAAATTTTTTATTTTTGAGACAGGATCTCACTTCGTTGTCTAGACTGGAGTGCAGTGGCGTGACCACAGCTCGCTGCTGCCTCAACCTCTGGGGCTCAAGCAGTCCTCCCACCTTAGCATACTGAGGAGCTGGGACCGCAGATGCATGCCACCATGACTGGCTAATGTTTTTTGAATTTTTTTAGAGATGGGGTTTTCCTCTGTTGCCCAGGCTGGTCTCAAACTCTTGGGCTCAAGCTATCCACTTGCCTTAGCGTTTCAAAGTTCTGAGATTACAGGCATGAGCCATCATACACAGCCTGGGTTCGTCTTTAGATTTGAAAATATAGGCAAATTAAATCTCTCGGTGTCGGGTGGATTGCAGAAGGGAAACTATTGTTTCCCACTGAAAAATATCAGTAATGTTTTATTTTCAGTCATTTGATTATCTTTCCAGATCAATGTAGTTTTTGAAACATTGATTCTGTAGTTCTTTGTAAATACAAATATATATTTACCATTAGCCTAAAATTCTATTCATTCAGTTAGTGAGTTTCTTTGAGTGACAAGGTTTTGATGACTAGAATATGTTAAAACTTTTCATTCACTTTGCAGATGTTTCCAGATGTTTCAAACTATTCATCAGCTTACTAGTAGCCCTGAAGATATTCTAATGGTAAGACATGAAGGAATTTTTAGAATGGCTTAAAAATTATGAAGTAATTTCCTTCCATTATTGCACATGACTTTTTATTTTTGCTCTCATTAAGAATGATGAAAAATGTTTTCTCTTTTATGGCAACTCTTTGAAAAACCGACATAAGACATTTGCCTAAGAGCTAGTACAGAAAAACCGTATTTCTTATAAAAGATATGAGGAAAGAACCAGGAGGAGCATCTTTTATAGAATAGAGAATTATATGGGAAAGAAAATTTGGTCCTGTTTTTTATATGTTACATATATATATGAAATATTTGACCACAGATAGGGATATCCTTGATAAGGCATTGTCTGTATTACATAAGAGACTTTTACTACATGGGTGGACATTATAGAGAATGAAGAAGTTCAGGAAGGGCTTAGAGATTAAGTGATTAATCCCTAGGGAAATTCTGCCTTCCCTATGAGGTTACAAAGGATACCACTATGTTCTCTTATCTGAATCTCCATGATACTGGAGTCTGACATGGGAGATGGACTTCTGTATCATTGATTTGACTAGGATGACATTTTAAAATGTCTTTTTTGTAAATGGAGAGAAGCAAAATTGTGTCAGTGTTCTCAACCATTAGAAAAAAAAATGCAAAGAAAGTATAACTTGTGTTTCTGGAGAGGTAACTTTTAACTGATCAAGAAAAAATTTTCCTCTTTGGTCAAGACTGATCTTTATGATAAGTGATAAGTAAATTAATCACCTTTTAGAGGAGAGTTAACTCTAATAGTTTCATTCAGCAAAAAATGACTCACTGAGCACCCAAAAATCCAGGCACTGTGCTAAAGTCTTAGAGAGATCGACACAGTCTCTGCCCCTGAGGAATTTATAATTAGATTGGAGAGACCCATAAGCAGATACTGCAACATAATGTGGTAAGCTCTGTGTTAGAGACACACATAGAATTTATAGGGACCCAAAAGGGCATTCTCTAAGCAGCCGCTCAAAAGATAACATGAACACTGCTAGGAATGTTCACCACAGGGCTCTGGTCTCACTTTGTTGGTGAGTGTTACAGAGCAAAATGATGAAATTTAAATTCCAGGAGTTTAGTACTCTATAGGTATAATAATGCCATGTTCATTGCTACATTCATTTCAAAGTGAAAGTTGAAAATCTCTGTTAAATGAGGTGAGAAGTTAAAAGTCTGTGCATTTGTCCTAGTGCTACTAGGTGGTTCAGGGGGTGACAATGACATGCCCCATATGATAAATGAAATGTATTTGAGAATAAGATAAGAGATTGTTTGTAAATGTAGAACTGAGTGTGAGGGAGATCACTTAGACTCTAGTCAAGGTGACCTGGGTATAATATCAAAGAGAGGATTGGAGTGTGGCTGAAAAAATGATACTCATTACATGTACCAGACATTATTCTTAGGACTACTTTCAGAAGTAGGTACTTTTATTGTTCCCTTTTGGTAGGTGAAGAAATAGGCTTAAAGAGGTTAAGTGTAACTCATTTAAGATCACACACACGGAGTAAGTGGAGGCTCTATCTGGTTGCAGAGCTCATGCTCTTTCCCATTCAAGCTATACAGTCTTGGAGTCTTTTGAGTAAGTAGGATCTTAACTAAGTGTGATGTACTCTGTCTGGAAAAAGAATTTGAATAGTTACTCTCAGTTCAGTGCATAGGAGAGGAAAGCCCAAAGAGGTGTCTTCAGTACCTACCGCACATCACAGAAAGGGCTAAATCTGGCAAAGACAGATGTAGACCCCAGGGAAATGTTCTTGGATCTGGGTTGGGGATGATTCTCTAGACTTCACTGTGACCTAGATAAATCAAGTTCGTTTTGCTCTTGTTCCATACTTGTTAGTTTTTCATTGTTCATTTGGTTTTACAGAGAGCTAGCCACTCAGAAAGAGGGATAGTAGTCACTTCAGTCACTGCAAAGGACTACTATTTCAAACCCTCACTTTTACCCAACTCCTCACAGTCAAACAGGTTTCTGCATTAGTCTAATGTGAGCTGGGGTAGGTGAGTTTGTGCCTGTTCAGTTCTGGGACGATGATGACATCCAGATTCTTCAACCTATTAATATAAAGATGAGGCCGCAGTTTAGTAGTGTCAGTGACAGCAAGAGGGAGTTCCTGGAGTAGCAGTGCCATGGGGCCAATGCCATTAATGATGGCATGGAGGCTGCAGTGTCATGCTCCTTGGTGGAGGCAGCAGTGGTATCTTGCTTGGTCCAGGAGTTTCATGTTTAGAATGCTGACATATTATCTTTGACTGTGTATTCTCAGAATCTGGGTCCCTAGACCTCTGGATGAAACTAAACTACCCATTCCACTTATGTTATAATAAGTTCATTTTTGTCTTTAGTGGTAACAGAGACAAGAAGAGGCCAAGAACTTGGATTGCTATGAATTCACCAAGGTAGTGCCATACTGTTAGGCACTGTCTGTACAAACAGCCAGTCCCTGTTGCTTTGCCAGGACACTGCACTCGCATGCCTGTGTGCATGTATTAAAGCAGATTAAGATTAGGATACCAACTGTAAGGACTAATTAGGGCAATTTGTCACAGCTTCCCCAACTTAAGTCTTTTTTTCTTGTAGATTTTTCAGTTTGAAGGCGGAAAGGAAAAACATGCCTTAAGGAACTTTGGGATTATTGAGATTTGCACTAAATTGGATACAGTTTTATACATTTTTTATTACCTGCTTTCTTTGCCCTAAGTACTTCTCAAGAAAATTTAACCCTGCCAGAATTTATTGAAAAATATAACTTATTCCTAAATAACTTTAATAGAAACCTTAAGCCATGTCTTCCAATAACACATTAGTAATACCTAGTCATTTTAGCGGTTTATTTCTGGATGTCCATTTCCTAGCTGTCTACACATATAGAAGGTTCTGACTGGTTGTAGTTTTGCCTCATTTATTTATTGTATCAATCTGCTATTATAAATACTAGGAAATAGAGAAATGTTTAAAAGGGAAAAGAAATAAAAGGTGTAGCTAATGTACAGATTGGGATTTAATGTGGGAATGGGGATGATGGGAGTGATTGGAAATATTGCTGCTCTGCATGGTCTCCATCAGGGATGTGACAAAGTGGATAACCTCTACCATGTGGGAAACTTCCAACATTTCTTGCAAATCAAATTTAATGAATAAAGTGAAGCTGTAGCACTTGGCACATTCATTGGGACCCTTACATAAACATTATTAATATTTTTACATTATCTTTATTATCAGGTCACAAAAGATGTCATAAAAGAATTTGCAGATGATGGTGTCAAGTACTTGGAACTAAGGAGCACACCCAGAAGAGAAAATGCTACTGGTAGAATTTAGTCTTCTCAGCAAATGTACTATCCTTTTCCCGTGTGCTTTGATCATGTTTGTGAGTGGGAGTATGAAGTACTGGGAGTATGAAGCACAAACTTTTACACTATTGTATTGTTCTATATTTCATTGAACCTTCTGTATTTCATTGAACAGTCCAAGTCCTCTCTCTGAAATACATTGATGATGTTCATTTTGTTTGTTTGTTTTGGAGACAGGGTCTTGCTCTCTTGCCTAGGCTGGGGTGCAGTGGCACAAACATAGCTCACTGTAACCACAAATTCCTGGGCTCAACAATCACCTCAGCCTCCAAAAGTTCTGGGATTACAGGTGTGTGCCACTGCACCCATCCCAGTGTACTTTATTAATGAGTGAGTTATTCTTAAGTAAAAAGTAGGAAAATTCCAGTCAGGCATTATCTGTTTAAGGAAGGAAACAAAAGCCTACAACAATTTCTTTTGTTCTTCCTTGTTTAGTTGTTTTCACTCTGAGAAAAAGATACCTCCTCCTTATAGTTTCATTGTCACAAGCAGAGGCTGATTCATGCTCCCTGCATCACAGGCACTTATGAGACAATGCCGCTGAGTGGATGCAGAATCATGTTTTATGGTAGTTACTGAAATGTAGATTATTCATTCGCTTCACAGGGAATAGTTTCTTAGGCCAGGAGCAAGCTGTGATGTGGTAAAACCTCTTAGAATAGAGATGAGATCTGGATATGATCTGAAGGAATTTTCTGAGATCCTCCTTCTATAAGAGCAGCATCAGGAGACATTGGGGTCCTCTTAGCACCTTGTTTATGACCCAAAGAGACCTAGGTCATCTTGCATGCTGATATGTGTAGCTCAGTAATCATTTGGGGGTTAAATTTTCGGAACTATTATTGTAAGTGTTCACATGAGATAAGGAGAAGGCTCTCATCTTGCATTTTTGAACCACAGAATCAGTTCCACATTTTGCTGGTGAGAGTACTGAAAGGAAAGGAGAGAAGAAACCTGCCAGATAGTAGGACTCTTTAAATGGAGTTTCAAAGAAGGATATTAACCTAAATATGCAACAGTAGAGGAATGGTTAAATAAAGGCTAATGAAATATTAGGTAACCATTAAAAATACTGGTGAAGACACTTTAATGACATGAGAAAATACTCAGAATCATGGTAAGTGACTGAACTGGGTACACATATACCTAGTAGCATCTCATCTATTTAAAAATGTGCATATGGGCAGAGTGCAGTGGCTCATGCCTATAATTCCAGTGCTTTGGGAGCCTGAGGCAGGAGGATCACTTGACTCCAGAAGTTTGAGACCAGTCTGGGCAATATAGTGAGACCCACCTCTACAAAAAAATATATTTTAATTAGCCAGACATGGTGGTAAACACCCGTAGTGCTAGTTACTCAAGAGGCTGGAGCAGAAGGATCACTTGAGCCTGGGAGGTCAAGGCTGCAGTGAACCATGATGTTGCCACTGCCCTCCAGCCTGAGCAACAGAGAGAGACCTTTAAAAAGGTCTCTTGAAATAATAAATAAAAATAAATCTGTATATGTATACTTAAAATGTTACAGAATATCCAGGAGACCGGAGAGACCAAGGGGTGAAGCAGGAGGATTTTATTAAAGTGGCCACTGGTTCAGCGGATTAGCGTCCCAAGTCTGAGCCCAGGAGAAAGAAAATGGGATAATTTTTATACATCCAGGATGATGTAGCAGCTAACAGGTTTACAGAAGTCAGAACAAAGACCAGTTAATTAATTTGTAACATGCCTTGTGATGTACATTACATTTGAAAAATAGCATTTTGAGAAACACATTGTACATTCTGTGGGTGTTATCGTGCTCTGTGACCTTGCCGCTGGTTAGCAAGAAAAACAGGAATCTTGAGATGCTTGGGAACCTTGCTGAGAATGTGGGGAGAATAAATAAGATAGGTTTTACAGGGACTTAGTTAATTTTAAGCAGAGCTAGGGGTTAGGTTTTCTATTAAACAACACACAACACAGCAAAATTTACTTTATTACTGTATGTAGCAACTACAAATTACAAGATTTTGTTTTTACTATTATTGCTATTATTTAATTCCCTCCCCCAAAAACACGGTAGTCATCTCGGGGAGAGGGGGAGATTAATTAATTAATTTATTTATTTATTTTTGAGACAGAGTCTTGCTCTGTCACCCAGACTGGAGTGCAATGGTGGGATCTCGGCTCACTGCAACCTCCACCTCCCAAGTTCAAGTGATTCTCCTACCTCGGCTTCCCTAGTAGCTGAGACGACAGGCGCGTGCCATCACGCCTAGCTCATTTGCATATTTTTAGTAGAGACAGGGTTTCACCATGTTGGCCAGGGTGGTCTTAAACTCCTGACCTCAGGTGATCTTCTTGCCTTGGCCTCCCAAAGCAATGGGATTACAGGCATGATCTACCACGCCCTATTTTTATTTTTATTTATAACTTTCTGTATTTTACCAGAGACTTTCCACCAAACTTAAGCATTTTACAGTCTGGGTAAAAGAGTATTTTATTCTTCCCAATGTAGCCTAAAGAAAAAGAAAAGAAGGTATTTTACAGGAGGTTGTTCTGGAGAGCACTCTTGCAGATCTCCCCAGAGAGCAGAGCACTCATACTTAGAAGAACATGCCTGGTTCCCTGGATGAGAAACACTAAACCTGAGCAGGATTGAGGGGAAAGGAACCCAAGTTAGGATTTTTTTTCTGGACCAGGAGAGAAAATGTCCCTTTTTTTAATTTAAAACAAAACAAAACAGAACAGGATGGATGTGATGGCTCATGCTTGTAATCCCAGCACTTTGGGAGGCCAAGGTAGGAAGATCACTTTCAACCCAGGAGTTTGAGACCAGCCTGAGCAAGATGGCAAAACCCCATCTCTACTAAAAGTCCAAAAACTAGCTGACCATGTGGTACACACCTGTAGTCTCAGCTACTCAGGAGGCTGAGGTGGCAGGATGGCTTGAGCTCAAGAGACAAAGGTTGCAGTGAGCCAAGATTGTGCCACTGCACTCCAGCCTGGGTGACAGCCACACCCTGTCTCAAAACAAAACAAAAAAAGTCTTTATCTTTTTTATTTCATTTCTCTAGTACTTCATTTTCCCCCAATTTTATTAAAATATAATTTGCATTTACTGAAATATACCCGTAAAAGCCATGTTTTCACTCATCTTTAACCATGCTCTTGTCATAGCATAAAGTAAAAATGTAATTGTTTATATAGGATTACTGAAGGTGAAGGATGAAATAGTTGATGATCTCTTTACATGTATTTTCTATGTGTCCTTTTCAGGAATGACTAAAAAGATTTATGTGGAATCTATACTTGAAGGTATAAAACAGTCCAAACAAGAAAACTTAGACATTGATGTTAGGTAAGAAGATTGTACCTTAGTAGTTAAAATTTACAGAACCAGAATGTGAATTTGAATTTTTACTGTTTTCATCATGGGTGTAATGGATTTTTAAAAATTAATCATTAATTGATTTCTACAATAGAAAAATAAAATCAGGAACCCTGTTTAAAGCGAGAACACAATTCTGAATTTATTCACATGGCAGTGAAAATTTGAGTATTTTTATTTGAGTAAAGTATGGTGTTTTTGCCGTTCAGCTAAAATGAACTTCTTGCTGTGGCCCACGAGGTCCCATGTGACCTGGCTGCCTCTCTTACTTCAGCAGCTCATCTAGACCACTCCTCCTCCCTTACACGTGGGCCTACTGTCTGTTCCTAAAATATGCAAAAAAGACTGCCCTCCTTCAGCACCTGTGTTTAGTACTCCCCAGAACACATTTCTTTTTTTATTTTTATTTTTATTTTCTTTTTTTTTTTTTTAAAGACGGGGTTTCACCATGTTGGTCAGGCTGGTCTTGAACTCCCGACCTCAGGTGATCCGCCCGCCTTGGCCTCCAAAGTGCTTGGATTACAGGCGTGAGCCACTGTGCCCGGCCCCAAGAACACATTTTTACCAGATTCCTGCCCAGCTGGCTTCTTCTCGTATTTCAGGTCTCAATTTAGCTGTCACTTCCTCAGTGACAGCTAAATTCCTTTACCACTCTGTCTAAATTGCCCTGCTAATCCTCTTTCCTTTATTTTATTTCCTTTGTATATATGCCCACCCACTAGAGTGTAAGTGTAGTAAAGCCAAATAAATTTCTTTTGTATATATACCCACCCACTAGAGTGTAAGTTTAGTGAAGCCAAGGACCTTGTTTTTTGATTCACCACTACATCTTTAGTACTTACCACAAAGTAGGTACATAGTAGGGGCTCAGTAAAGCCCTAAATGAAGAAAGGAAAAAAGGTAGCTGTATAGTTTCAGGCTATAAGTCTCTAAAAATTAAGCTTAACTAGACTAATACACCAATGAAAAACCAAGCAGAAGACAAGAATAGAATGCAGAAAAGAAGACATAAAAATAGCTGCTAAATGTATAGAAATACATAGAAAACTAACTCATTAATCTTATATTACAATGCTGTTTCAATAGGCTAAAAAAAAGTAATAACCCATGTTTGTAAAGTTATGCACTGCTGGTAAACGTATGTAATTAATAAAACCTCTTTAAATCCTGCACTTGTATACAGGTAAGGGGGAAAAAAACCTCTCTAAAGAGCAATATATGTCAAGATTTATAAAAAAAGTTTTTCCCTTTGACCCAGTAATTCTCTGCTAGCAATGTATCCTAGAAAATAGATTGATTTATGCATAAGATTCCATATTATAATGTTATTTATAACAAAAATTAGAAAATATCCTAAAATGTCCAGCATTCAGAGGACAATTACCTTATGATATGTTCATATGATTTATACTATTTCTAACATTATTTTAAAGGCATGGGAAGTTGCTGAGAGAAGAAAAAGATATAGCATTTTATATATAGTTGATCTAAATTTTGTAAATACATAAATGAGCAAATACTGAAAGAATTTATGTTGTGAATAAATAGTAAGCTAATAACCGCTGAAGAAAAATTACAGGGCTTCTCTGGATATTCAAGAAATATTAACAGGCCAAGCACTGTGGTGGTTCATGCCTGTAATCACAGAGCTTTGGGAGGCCAACGTGGGTGGATCACCTGAGGTTAGGAGTTCGAGACCAGCCTGGCCAACATGGCGAAATTCTGTCTCTACTAAAAATACAAAAATTAGCTGGACTTGGTGGCAGGCGCCTGTAATCCCAGCTACTTAGGAGGCTGAGGCAGAAGAATCACTTGAACCCAGGAGGCAGAGGTTGCAGTGAGCTGAGATCATGCCATTGTACTCCAGCCTGGGTGATGAGCCAAACTCTCAAAAAAAAAAAAGAGAAAAAGAAATATTAACAGGGATTCTTTGAGTATTCAAGTCCTATAAAATTACAGCTAATATTTGAAGAAAGACCTTATATCAGATATTTGATACATTTTATAATGAAAATATTACTATTTTTGTAACCCCTAATAGAATAATGGATCTAAGCCTCCTAAAAACACACCACCACCAGTTTACTCTTGAGTTTACTTTTGCCAGAAAATGGAATCTGATCTGCCTCTAGACTAGATAGGAAATATAAGAAATAGGAAAACATGTTAACAACACAGGGATACAGTCTACAAAATCCAGACCATGGAAAACTGTAGGACAAACAACTTGGTTTCTTCAACAAATAAGTTACAAGAAAAGCAGGGTGGGAGGTGGGAGGAGAGGAAGGAGTGGTTGTAGATTAAGAGAGGCTTAGGTGATACATTGACTTACACAAAGCATGGAGGTTGTTGGGATCCTGAATCAAACAAACCGAAGAAACAAATACAGGAACAAAAAAACCTCAAAAGACAACTGGAAATCTGAACACTGACTAGGTGCTTGATGCTATTTAGGAATTCATGTCTCAGTCTGTATGGCAAAGTAAAATGTCATGTTGTCTAGATTCAGTCAGGCTCTTCTTTTCCTAGTGAGATGTATTACATGTGGTCTGCTGTCTCTGGCCACACTCACAATTGTCTTTTTAATCTGCATCATATTAGTTTTCAGCTCCGTCTTTCTTATGTTAAAGGTATTTGATAGCAATTGACAGAAGAGGTGGCCCTTTAGTAGCCAAGGAGACTGTAAAACTTGCGGAGGAGTTCTTCCTTTCTGCTGAGGGTACAGTTCTTGGCCTTGACCTCAGTGGAGACCCTACTGTAAGTTATTTTTCCTACATAGATTTTAATTCTAAAAGGTAGAATCAGTTAGTGGGATAAGGACTAGCTTTGGGTATCTTGCATTGCATTCTCCATAGTGTCCAGCAGACACTCGACTCTGTGGATGAAGGCCTGTTCTGCCCTGGATGACTAGAATGCCTCGAGCAGCTTTCATCCAAGGTTCTGTGAAAGAATTAAGTACCCTAAAAAAAAAAGAAAAAAAAAAAGAGTTGCCTGACTCTATGACTATTTTCTCCATTCTTCTGAAGATGGTGCACAACTGGTACCAGACTATATGCACTATAATGTAATTCATTACATACAATGAATGGATGTCTTAGGATATTAGGGCTTAGCCATCTCATAGGTAGTTGAGAAATGTTGGCCGGAGCTTCTTGAATGTCAGATTGAAGCAGAAATCTTGATATTTGGGGCTGAATAATTTGTTGTGGGGCTGCCCTGTGCCTTGTAGAATGTTTAGCAGCATCCTTGGCCTCTACCCACTGGATGTCAGTAGCACTCTCCCATCTGTAACAACCAAAAATGTCTCCAGACATTGCCAAATGTCCCTTAGGGGGCAGAATTGCTCCTGGTTGAAAACCATTGAATAGGAGAGTCCCATGAAACTGATTCTTACGGCTTTGTCCAAACCTGGACAGTATGTACTCCCCTTCTTTTTATCCATCTGTTTAACAGAGGTATTTTGAGTAATCATGAGGGTTCCTGAATCAAGTGAGTGAGGTCTCCTTAGCACTGAATATCTAGGTGTCCTTCCAGGCATAAAATTTAGTGACTGCTATATCCAGCTTAGCTGATTGACCTCAGTTTACTGATAATAGACAAGATTCTCAAGAGCAGGGCCTGTTGCCAGCTTTGTATTCAGCAAAGTGCCTAACACATTGTAGGTGTTTTATAAACAAGATGTGCAAATGAATTAATCTACCATTATTTTTTTCTCCCATTATGTTATTTGTTTATTGGAATGGAGTACTCAATTCCTCAGTTTTCCCAGAATTCTCATGCCTCCTCATTAAAACTTTTAAAGGTAGGACAAGCAAAAGACTTCTTGGAACCTCTTTTAGAAGCTAAGAAAGCGGGTCTGAAGTTGGCATTGCATCTTTCAGAGGTAAAAAATATTGTCTTAGGCTAGAGGGAACAGATTATAATAGAAAATAAGAGAGTCATTTGTAAGTGACTAGAAATAAACCTGGATTGGAAAAACATTTTTTAAAAAGGAAAAGTAGAAATATTTTAAAATCTAAATTTAAAAAGACATGACTTGCTTTAGTCTCTGGTGTTACTGTTTTTATCCTTTTGTGGTTCTTCGGAGTGGCTGTTAAATGCCAGTTGTGTCATTTAAAAGCAGCTTAATGACATCTTGCTAGAGAAAAATGTATGAATTTCCAACATCAATCTTGTCATTGGCAAGCTGACTCTAAGAAAAGTACCAATTTATCTCACCTGTCCTCATAGCAAAAGGGACTTGCTTGTATCACATGCACTGGCAATAAAGGAAGCAGCGTGTCACTTTACAAAGCCTGGCAAAGAGGTCCAGTGCCCCTCATAAGACCCAAGCTTGCGGGTAACATGAACATAGTGACAGATAATTGCTGGGAAGTAGTCACTTTCTTTAGCACATCCCTGTAAGGCAAACAGGGGACTCTGCTGCAATTTTCCCCATTTTATAGATGGATTTATTTATTACCTCAGTACTTCTATCTATTTGTTTCTTAAATGCAGAAAATAATACTTAAGTCTACTTACCTCACAGAGTTACTGTATTAAAGGAGTAATGTGTAAAGTTTGAGTAGCATCATGATTTAAAGATTGAGGAAGAAAATCAGAACCTCTTGCCAGTACACTTGTATCTTTCATGTCTGTAAGCAGAGCGTCAGTAATCTAGTGGCAGGACTTAAAATCTGGAATCCATGTTTCCACACTCGAACCCAAAAGACTTTTCACCCATAGGGCATCCTATGGCTGACCTAACTGATGCGTGATGGACACCACTGGTCATTTTAAAGGAGCAGCATGTTTGACGGTGTGCACACACGCACATCTCTAGCCTTGTGCACAACATCAGAGCTTGCTCTTTACCTTAGTTTCTGTTGCTTTTATCATACAGTCCATTGGATAGAAAACATTTCATTTAAAAATGTTGTAAGCATTTTTGTTTTGCGCTATCTAGGAGCTAAAGAGCACAGCCAGACATTTTGATGGTGACTGTGGTATGTAGGTAGCCAGCCTTGTCAGAATAAACGTGATGAGCACACTATGTGAGGAAAGCAACTGGGCCCTGGAGTCAGACTGAGTTAAGTTTTACCCTTAATCTCTACCATTCACTAGCTCTATGGCCTTGGACAACTTTTTTTAAAAAAATGCTTTATATTTTTAACTATAAGAGTCATGTATACCTGAAAAAAATCCAAGCCTCAAGAAGGAAAAGAATTAAAAATTAAAAGCCAAGTTTCTATTTGTTTTGCTCCCCAGAGTTAATACTGTTAACAGTTTCGTGTTTATCTTTTTTCAGAACTTTTTACAATATATATGAACACATGTATACAACACAGAGCACACATGCATGTAGAGTTGTGAAGTTTTTTTTTGAAAATTAATGTTTCTCAGCTTTAATTTCTTCATCTTAATACCTTGTAAGATTCTTGTGAGACCTTAAAGAATTTGCGTGAAAAGGCACAAAGTAGGTTCTTAATGAGTATTTATTATTATCATTGAAATGAATCTAGAAGAATATTGGGAAAATAATGAGAAGATAAATGTAAAGAGAGCTAGGAAGGCAGAAGTAGTTCAGTTTTCCAGGTCTGCATTAAATACTACTCAGAGGGGTAGGGTACCTAGCTATAGAAAAAAGTACTCTAAGAGGCCACTGATGATCCCCTTTCCCCGTCTTTGTTAAGATTCCAAAACAAAACAAAGAAACACAAATACTCCTGGATCTCCTTCCTGACAGAATTGGGCATGGAACATATCTCAACTCTGGTGAGGGAGGATCCCTAGATCTGGTGGACTTTGTGAGGCAACATCGGATACCACTGGGTAAGGTTTGGAGTTTCAGGTCTTCCAGACAACTCTCTGTTCCTCCCCCAATTCCTAGGTTGCAACCCATATGGAGAGAGGTACTGTTCTAAAAGGACGAATGTCATCTAGCTATTAAAAGATGCGTGGAATTTGTGCTTTCTGAGCCTATTTAAGTAACAGAAAGCTTTAGCTTCCACTAAAATACAAGCTCTATGTAACTCAATAAGAATTTTTTAAAGGAATAAAGGGTCATCTAAAACTTTGAAATGATTTAAACAAAATTGATGTGTTATGAAAATGTAACATTATTTAAAAATTAAGCATTATGAAAAATCGCAAATATATTTTCACATGTCTGTTGATCATTACACACTTGATTGTGTTTATGAAGTGTCTACTTTGCTGTCATTGCTGTTGATAGAACAGTGCACAAAACAGGCAAGATTTCTTTCCCAAGACACTCATATTCTAGCAGAGGGAAGACAGTAAACAAATATACAAGAAAACATTAGTGTTCTAGGAAGAAAATTAAACAGGCTGATATATTAGTGATTGTATAACCACTTTTGATTGGATAGTTAGAAAAGGACTTTCTAAAGAAGGAAAAAGTGGTTGGCTGCATCCCATTTTATGGAATGATGAATTTACTAAATTTACCAATTTATAAAAATGTTTGTGTGAGTGTTTTAACTATAAGAGTTTCAGTAATTCATAATGCGTGAGATATTTTTTTAAACTAAGGAAAATTTTAAATATCCACAAAAGTGGAAAGAGTGGGAACCACTTGCATAGTGATCTTACTTGGTGTGGTGGCCTAGCTCTGCTCCCAGCAGAGTAAGGGGGCAGTTTGGGTTTGTCATCTCTTAAACTAAGTAAGCCTGTGTTGAGGCTGCCTTACTCAAGTGAGCAGATGCCATCAAGTCAGTAAGGTATTTTGCTCTGGCTAAGGAGCCTGGTAATGTTTCCAGGAAGGAATTTATTAATAGTAGGAGTCATTCTTAGGATGGACTTAACTTACCTATAAGCAGAAGGAGGTGAATGGATGATTGTCTGGGTGAAAGTGTTAAGGGGTTCTTAGAAGCCATGGCAAAGTCCCTGCTCATTCTTAGTGCTTTATAATGCTCTAATTCTCATGCAGTGCTACAGTTTTCTTACCTTTGTTTTGGCTTCCACCATTAGACCAGGAGGGATTGCAGTAGCTTTTCAAAAAACCCTTCTCCTATCATGATAATTCCCTGCCTTTTTCATTATGACTGGCTTATGACATTCCTCCTTCTTCTCTATTTTGGTCAAAGAAGGAGAAGTGCATGGCTTTGAAAGGCATATTAATTCTTTGCCTGGTAGCACTGTTGCCATTAGTTGCAGCACATACTTCCTGTGCAGCTACACTAATTGAACTACAGTTTTCACACATAAGGAAAGATTGACTTTGTAAACTAATAAACTACTTTAAATTAGCAAAATTGGGAAAGATTTCTCATGTGTCTATTTGGTGAACATTGAATGAATTCACTTATTTGCTTTTAATGAGATTTTCCCCCCCTTTTCATATAGAACTCTGTTTGACCTCAAACGTCAAAAGTCAGACAGTTCCATCTTACGACCAGCACCATTTCGGATTCTGGTACAGCATTGCCCATCCTTCTGTGATCTGTGTAAGGTGTTCTGTGTAAAGTATTTTGCTCCTTTTTGCTCTCTGAGTTGCATTAAGTCAGATGTTCACTATCTGGCAGACTGCCTTGCATGCCTGAGGATAATGCTGAAGTAGAGGAGTTAGAAGGGAATGGGGCATAGCTGGGTGTGGTGATGCACGCCTGTAATCCCAGCTATTTGGGAGGCTGAGGCAGGAGAATCACTTAAACCCGGGAGGTGGAGGTTGCAGTGAGTGGAGATCATGCCATTGCACTCCAGCTTGGACAACAAGAGTGAAACTGAACAAAAAAAAAAAAAAAAAAAAAAAAAGGACTGGGACATGAGAGGCTGCAGAGGGCCAGGGTGGCTCTGGATTGGCTCTATTGCAAAAGGTACTTGAGAGAACTTCGAAACAAAACAAAACAAAAAAAATGAAACAGATGCTCTGCAACCATCCCATAAGATTTTGCTGCTTTATTTGATCTGGGGTGAGTCCTGGGCATAGATAGGCTTTGAAACCTCCTTAGGTAATTTTAATATACAGCCAGAGTTGAAACACTTCTGGTATCTTAAAGTATAAGTCTGTTTAGTTACAGCTATGCACAGATAAATTTATAGGCCCTTGTTTAGACTCTTGAAAGAAGTATAGTAAATAGGAAAAATAGACTCTGAACAAAAAGGTGGTTATTTTTTGAAAAATCATTCCTTTTTCATTTTGAAATGTTCTTGTTTACATTGGCAGACTGATGATAAGGGTGTTTTTGCAACACATCTTTCTCAAGAGTACCATCTGGCAGCTGAAACATTTAATTTGACACAGTCTCAGGTGTGGGATCTCTCTTATGAATCCATCAACTACATCTTTGCTTCTGACAGCACCAGATCTGAACTGAGGAAGACATGGAATTACCTGAAGCCCAGAGTGTTACACTTCTAAGCTGTAATGAGGTGAACTACTTCTGAGTATGTGTTGAATCAAGGTGTTCCTGCCATATCCCACTTAGTAAAACAGTCCACCATTTCTTTGAAGCATAGCAGCCAAGTTCCATGGGCTCCATCATCAGCAACCTTACACCTGGCAGGTGCTCAGTAAATATGTCTTCAACTGACACACAAGCTCTCAGGTGCTTACTGGATGGTACCTGACTGTTGCTAATTAAATCCCCAGTCTACCAGTGATTATTTTGACTCAGCAGTCCTTCCCCATTAGTAATCATAAAACTTCAGGGAAATCAAAGTCTCTTATTTTGATTTGTTTTGGAATTACTAGCATAAGGTTAGGAAAGGCTAATATACATTTTTTGCTTCCTTTGCTGCACATGCCACCCCATGTCTTCCACAAAGACTTTACTTAGGTGCATAGATGCTTTTGCTCCCCTAACAGTGGGCTTGTTTTCTCTTTCTCAGAATGTTTGAAGATATTTCTTGTTGCTTTTATCTGAGGAATGGCAGGTTGGGCAGCATGTAATTGTTGTGAGATAGTTTGACATCAACTGGGTTTTCACCTGGTAAGCAAGTTGGCCCTTGCCCTGTTCCTTCTGCACATTCCATTCTTTTCATCTGGTTTTGAGGTCTGGGTCTTTAAAGTAAGCCTCAGCTGAGTTGGTCACAGTGGCTCATGCCTTTAATTCCAGCACTTTGCGGGGCTGAGGCAGGAGGATTGCTTGAAGCCAGTTCAAAAGCAGTCTGGACAACATAAAGAGACCGCCCCCCCCCATCAATACAATAATTTAAAAAATTAGCTGAGTGTCTTGGCTCATGCCTGTAGTCCTGTCTATTGGGAAGGCCGGAGATCGCACTGAGCCCAGGAGTTTGAAGCTGCAATGACCTATGATGGCACCACTGCACTGCAGCCAGAGTGAGATCCTGTCTCGAAAAAATAAATTTTTAAAACTTTAAAAATAAGATCTGCATGCCCAGTATCTTGGGTCCTAATTTATTGTGGATATGGATAGAGGTACAAAGGAAGGATATGCATTCTAATTTCCCTTTTACCACAATCTCAATTATTTCTTTTTCTAGAATATAAAGATTCAGATAAAGATACTTCTAGTAACCCCACATAGGGAGCTTAAAAAAAAGAAAGTTAAGATTGATCTTTTCCTACCATCCACAACTTGATCATAATTTGCCTATATTACACACACACACACATACTCTTGTAGAAACACCAGGCACTTTATAGACATAATTTTTATTAACATGGTATCCCTGAGAGGCAGTTAGGTGTAAACATTTTGCTTTACAGAAAGGGAAATGGAGGCAGGTTAACTTACACACAAGACATCCGGAACCAGAATATCTGTTGATACCCCAACCAATGTTTTTCCCACAAGACTATACTTAGATATACTAAAGACAGTAATCATCTTCTTTTTTTTTTTTTTTTTTTTTTTGACATATACATACTTCCTAAACCATCTGAGATCCTGAAGCACTGCTTCAGACTGGTGTTTGTTGTAGCTTCCTGTCTCCTTAGGCAGCATAACAGAAGTACCATCCTCCTTTAATTCCTAATAAATATTACATTTTTTTGTACTAATATTCAGCACCAGAACCCTAATTAATTTCTAACACAATGTTATAAATTATAGAATACTGTATCTTCCTACCGCTCTCCCTGATCTTATTCCAGCCACAGGATTCCAATTAAATGTGAAACAGCTACTTATCCCAGGCCTTGGCCATCTGGCCATTTTTATCTTCCTTCTCACATGCCCTTCAAAATATCTTCGTCAGATACTATGATTTCTGACCTTTGTCTCCCATAGGAGTTAGTCCCCTAAAGCTGCTCATTCTTTCCAGTGCCAGCCAGCTGTTTGCTTATCAGTATAGCACAGTACCTGATTTCCTAGAGATGATGGGTGTACCACCTCATGGTCTGCCCCTGGCACCGATGTTTCAGCTTAAGGTGATTCCCTCTGCCTGATGCACAGCCCATATCATACTTTTCCTCGAGTTCCATGCTGCTCCAAGCTTTATCGGGCCTTCCTTATAGTCTATCCTTTGCTCTTTGTTCCATCTACACAAAACACCTTGCTCCCCCATTTTCCCATTCCTCAACCTACCCACCACTCAATTTTGCAACTAGTTATGGAAAGTTCTTCCTAACCTAATGTAACCAGTAAGCTTCCCTCATTTGAACACTTCCTGCTTCATGCAGCCTTCCTGAATAAAAAGAAGAAAATACCTCCTGGATTTTTCTTACAGCAAACTGTAATGCATTGGACCATGCATTTATGCATAGTGTTACTACCTAGCTTACTAGATTTCTCTATAACTGCTGCAGCTATGCAGCTACTTGTCCATGTCAGTGTCATCTGCTTTAGGTTGTAAGGACAAGGACAGGACCTGTTTTACCTTGTGCTATACAGGGCTGATCATAGTATGAACATATGGGCAGTTAATTCAATACTATTATAAAGATGAGTAATTACATTTGCATTTAAAGAGCTGCTTTTAATTGTATTCACCTGAATGTGTATATGTAGATTGGCAGCTCCACTGGCCAAAGATAATCCATCTTCCCTGCCATTAGGGTAAAGGGCTGTTCACACACAGTAGTTCATTTCCCAATACATGGGAATGTGGCAGTGGCTTCTGCTTATTGCAGATAAGTACTGAGTGCCCACAGAGGGCATAACACTATACTAGGTGTGTGGAATATAGAGAAATCCCTGTTGGCAGCTTTAACTGCTTTACCTGTCACCACATCCAGCTGCCTTGCTCTGTGAACTTCTGGACCACATGGCACAGATGAAAATCAGATGAGACTGGACAGAAAGAAAACCAAACTAAATCCTATAAATGTATTACTCTAACCCTTCTTCTAGGACTCAGAAGAAACTAAGAAATCCAGGGTTCATACTTCAGTATAAAGTTTTCATTGTTTCTGCCTAAGAACACCTATAGACAAGATGATTCACAGAGAAGAGCCAAGATAGACATTAAACTTTCCTTCAAGGTAAATGAAGTGTGCCTCACAAAGCTGTCATTTTGAACACAGGTTTAAAGTGAACAGAAAGAGCCATTCATTCTAGCATTTCCATTATTGTATAAAGAAGAGCTAGGCCGAGCACAATGGCTCATTCCTGTAATCCCAGCACTTTGGGAGGCAGAGGCGGGCAGGTCACGAGGTGAGGAGTTCAAGACCAGCCTGGCCAACATGGTGAAACCCCATCTCTACTAAAAATACAAAAATTAGCTGGGCATGGTGGCAGGTGCCTATAATCCCAGCTACTTGGGAGAGTGAGGAAGGAGAATTGCTTGAACCTGGGAGGTGGAGGGTGCAGTAAGCTGAGATCATGCCATTGCACTCCAGCCTAGGCAATAGAGCAAGACTCCATCTTGTAGGAAAAAAAAAAAAAAAAGAGCTAGACCCACCTAATGGGCAAAGTCTCACAACTTCTTGAAATGTAATGGGTTTTTCCTGTCAAAATGCAGCTGAATGACAAAATGAGTAAAGAAGGATGCATATTAAATTCATAGGATCTACTACCATGTTGTCTTTACTTTATTAAGGGAACACCATAGGCACTGAGAAGGAAAAGATGTTATCCATCAATTCAGATGCACAATGAGGGGGACTGAAATCTTCCCTTCATTCTTTAGAGTGCCTTGGGGATTTGACTCTAGATCAGGAAAAACAAGGAACAGTGGCATAAAGCCTAAAGACAATTTCCCAAGCTAGCTGGACACAGAATAGGAGATGGATCTCACTTTTGGAAGACTTCTGAACAATACATTTATTGAGCCTCTTTATTATCCTCAGGGGCTTACTTAGGTGCTGACTGTGACAGAAGCTTTTCCCGTGCATGGATTTCTCGGTGCTTGTTAAGGGCTGAGCTTTTACTGAAACACTTACCACAGTCATGACACCCATAGGGTTTCTCTCCTGTGTGGGTTCTATGATGTGCACGTAAGTCAGAACTCTTACTGAAACTCTTTCCACAGTCAGGACACACATGGGGTCTCTCTCCTGTGTGTATCCTCCGATGTGCACTAAAATGAGAACTGTTATTGAAACTTTTTCCACACTCTTCACATTGATAGGGCTTTTCTCCTGTGTGGGTTCTCTGGTGAATGATAAGGCTTGAGCTCTGATTGAAGCGTTTCCCACACTCACCGCATTGATAAGGTTTCTCTCCTGTGTGGATCCTCCTATGGGTGATGAAATTTGAACTGTCACGGAAACTTTTTCCACAGTCAAGACATTTATAAGGTTTCTCTCCAGTGTGGATTCTCCGGTGTCTAATAAGTCGTGCACTCCGACTGAAACTTTTCCCACAATCAGCACATTTATATGGATTTTCCACCTGGTGGGATACCTGATGCATGAGAAGGGAATTAGGACCAAAGCTTTTGCTGTATTTGAGATATTTATAGGGTCTCTCTCGTTTCTCTTCACTTAGGACTTCACTTAAACCGTTCTCTTGGAGTGTCAGTTTTCTTTTCTCCCCTGGGGTCTTTTCCCACTGTCTTCCTGATCTACAGTCACTTTCATTGCCTTTACCTTGATTAAGATACTGGAAAATTTTCCTTTCAGACCTTGCAAGTAATGTCCTATGCAGTTGTACTTCCTCAGAAATATCCCGTTTTGAATTCTCTTCATTCTCAAATCCAGCTTCAAAACCTGATGTAAAACAGAATTTTAGGAGTTATCTATTTCCTTAATTATATGTGCCCTGGGAATGTAAAACTTGGGAAAAACAAGCATTACATCAGATAATTAAAGATAAAAATTAGGAAGCCCTAGATCCCAAATAACTACCATCATCTTATTAAAATCCCAATGTTTTACTTCTCTGCTTGGTAACCTGTCATGTGCTTCTCATCTACATAGGGTCTCATTAATATATACTTTTAACTCCTCTTGGTCACATAGGATCTTTGGAAAATCCTCTCAGTACAGCATGGAAAACTCACTAGGTTTTAGGTAATTTCTATGTTTCTATAGGAAAGACACTTTCTAATACGTATTTTTGCCACATCTCAGGTCTATCATAGTATTCTTATTCATGTTCTTTGCCAGTAACTAAAAGGTTTAGAAGGACATGCTTAGGAATACATTTTTGGAAACGGAAACTTTTATATCCAGAAGGAGCTTCATGAGTCTCCTTCCCCTCACATTCCAATATACATTGGAAATAAAAAGAGGATAGAAAAATACTTAGTCTTTCAAAGAACCAAAAGGCCTTAAGAACCAAATGCCTGGCTTCTTTGGGCCTAGGCT